ATCTGTGCGGGGTTGTTCACGCAGTTGCTTCCTCGGTATCGATTCCTGTGTGGTTCCCGGAGTTCTAGGCATTTCTACCAGGAAATCTGCGAACGCCTGTCCTTTGACAGCTGTACGGGGTTTGTACTCGATATGATGTTCCCCCAACTCGACCGCCCATTTCATCATTCGGCCTGAAGCTTCAGGTTTGAGGAGGACTTGTTGGATGGGTTGCTCAGTTAAGACTTGTATAGGATGAGCCTGAAAGTACGGACGCAACCGTCGGGCAGCGAGCACAAGGCTCAGGATAAGTTTCTCCATGGGGGTATATCGAGATTCTGCTCCTTGTAAGACTTTGCTGACGAAGTAGACTGGGAGCTCCTTATTGTCCTTTTTCTGGATTAATACTGCGGATATGGCTGTTTCTCGGGCAGCTAAATAGATATATAGAACTTCCCCCGGTTGCGGCTTTGCGAGCATAGGGAGTTTCTTGAGGTGTTCTTTTAATTCTTGGAAGGCTTTTTGACATTCATCGGTCCATTGGAAACCCCTCCCTTTTCGTAGGGTTTTGAAAAAGGGAAGGCTTCTCTCTGCTGCTCGAGATAGAAACCTGTTGAGTGCTACTAGGGATCCTGTGAGTTTTTGTACGTCCTTGACAGTTTTCGGGGCTTCCATTGAAAGTATTGCTTCAACCTTTGAAGGGTCTACACTTATCCCATCCTTGGATACTTGAAATCCGAGGAACTTCCCAGAACCTACACAGAAGGCGCACTTTTTTGGATTGAGTTTCATGTTTATTTTGCGTAGGATCGTAAAGATCTCCTGCATGTCCTCGACCACTTTGCAGTCCGAGTTGCTCTTGATAACCATGTCATCCACGTATATCTCGATGTTCCTCCCTATTTGATTATGGAAGGCTCTATTAACCAAACGCTGGTAGGTGGCTCCAGCGTTTTTCAGCCCAAACGGCATTTTGTCGTAACAGTATACTCCAATCTCTGTGATATAAGCCATCTTCTCTGCGTCCTCCTTGGCCATATGGATCTGATGATATCCTTTATACGCGTCGAGGAAGCTGAGAGTCCTGTAGCCAGTAATACCTTCCACCATTTGGTCAATTACGGGCAAGGGGTAACAGTCTTTTGGGCAGTATTTGTTGAGATTAGTGTAATCTTGGCACATACGCCAGGAATTGTCAGGTTTGCGGACAAGGACCGGGTTGGCCAGCCAGGTTGGCCAAAGCACCTCTTTTAGGATGTTGGCTCGTACTAGCTTGAGGGTTTCCTCGTTAATAACGTTATTGCGATCTCGAGCGAAGATCCTCTTCTTTTGTTTGACCGGTCTGACATTTGGATCAACATTTAGCTTGTGCTCGATAACGTGTCGAGGGACTCCGGTCATATCGAATGACGACCACGCGAAGATGTCTCGAAAAGTCCGCAATAAGGCAATTATTTCAGTCCGCAACGCACCCCCAATGGATACCCCTAGTTTGATAGTTTTTTCTGGTTCTTTCTCGTCCAAGATTAACTCTTCCGTCTTACTGCTGAGTGGCGGGTTTTGCTCAGCATCCGCACTCGAGACTTCTTGCTTTCTCTCTTTATCTTCGACTTTTGACACACCTTGCTGAATTGAGTAGTATCCTGATGTGGTGGCGGCGAGCTCCTGCTTTACCGCTTTCTTTCCTACCTTTACTGCCGTGAGAAGACATTCTCTAGAGTTGCGTTGGCAGCCTTGGACTATTCCTATCCCGTATTCCGTTGGGAATTTCATAACTAAATGGTAAGGTGACCATACAGCGCGGGCTTGACACATCCACGGCCGTCCTAGGATCACATTGAATGGCGAGGGAGCATCGATTATGGCAAAATCCATAGTTAGATTTACCGTTCGAGGATACGTCCCTACCGTGATTGGAAGCCTAACGATCCCGCTTGGGATTATCGTGTGCCCGAAGAAGCCCATCAATGGTAAGGTAGCAGAACGCAAGTCTTGGTTTTGTATATTCATTCTCTTGAAACAATCACTGTAGATGATGTCGATCGCACTACCATTGTCGACGTACACGCGACTTACCCCCATGTTACCTATGATGGCCTCAATAACCATGGCATCGCTGTGGGGGCACACGACGGGGACGACGTCACTATCTGTGAAGACGATCGCTTCAGTTCCTTTAAATCGCTTGTGACTTGGCTCCTGTGGTGGAGTTTTTGTCACTTGTCGAACAGAGGCTTTTAACGCCGTGGTGGAGAGGACTTCGAGAGGTGCTCCATAAATTGCTCCAACATTGTGGGTAATCTGCTTAGTGGGATCGAGAGGAGGTATTTGCTGTATGGGTTGCGGTTTGTTATCGAGGGCTGGTTGGACAGGATATTGTGGGTTATCCCTCGGTTGCCAGTTGTTTCCCCGGTTGTCTCTACGAGGCCCTCGATTATTGTTTCGCCTGGGGAAGTTGCGAGAACCGTCGGGTTTCTCTCGAGAACCACGGGTATCTCCTCGAGCAGTGCCTTGTGTGTTCTGCACATATTGCTGAAATTTGCCAGACTTCACTCCCGCTTCAATTTCTCGTTTGAGCTCTCGACAATCCTCCGTGTCATGTCCGTGGTCCTTGTGATACTCGCAATACTGATTCGTGGACCTATTCGGGTTATGAGTCAGTGGCTTTGGAGTTGGAAACTCGTCTTTATGGATCTGGAGTATTTCTCGTCGAGGCTTTATCAATGGAGTCAGTAACCTGTCGAGCCTGGGCAGCCACTTGACGATACCCGGAATTGTACCGCCGGTATAAGGTGGAACTCCGACTAAGGTTTCCTGCAAAACAGAGCCTGGGGCGTCTCCCGAGGGTAGACACTCCGAAGCTCAAGTTAGAAAATAGGGTTATGTATGTGTTGATATGATAATTAAGATTGCGTACCTTTAGTGTGGAATAAAGGTCCCTATTTATAGACTTGGGAGGAATCCGATTCCTACTAGGGTTAACAATAATAGACCGCCACATCAGGACGATCTATTCCCTAAGGCCAAGTAGTGGGCCGGCCTAGTGATGGAGATGGATCTGGACTCGTCATGGGCGTTTTACCTCAAGATTCTTTGATAGAAGATGATGATCTGCTATGCTCGGAGAAGTTGTGTTTGGAAGGGTTGAAGCCGGCAGCGATACCCGGCGGTGTATCCGTGCCGATGGTGGTGGAGCGTTAGTAAAGTGAAATCTCATTCCGTTTTGGACGGAGGCAGAGTTGTATAAAAAATTACTGGTGGGTACAGAGCGATGACGTGGCGAGTGGTAGATTTTGGCACACCTATTGGTGGACGGTGGTTTTGGAAATAGATTTAGGGGGTGCCTAGTTCAACAAAGGCTATGGGTTTGAGAGTCATTGAAAGTAAAATTCATTCCAAACAAAAATGTTAAGGGAATCAAAACTTCATTTTAAGTGCTTGGTTCATAATTACTATGATTCAATTGGAATAGATATGAAATTCCAAATTTATCCCCTCTTCATCGTGCCTATGCTTGATTACTCCGCCGCCACCAATTCAACAAGAGTCCGCCAATGGAGGTCGACCAGTGGGTGGGTGCAGTAGATCTGACCAAATTCGGCAATCCAGCAAAGAAGGCCGAAAGCGGGAAATGATGACTTGAAGAGTTTCAATTTTTTTGGGCATAAATTTCAATGGATATGAAAATATGTCTTTGTGCAGAGTAAGAGATCGAGAATATGGGTAGATATTTGATGACAAAAATGAAGTGTGTTGATGTTGATAATACTGCTGAGAAGAGTGGATATAAGAAGAATTAAAAAATTTGACGATAGAATAATTTTGATTTTTGTAAGGAGGAGAGGGATGAAGGTGGAGGCGGGAGAGGAGGAAGGAGTAGGATGAAAGCTAAGGTGACTGATGAGGAAGAAGAAAGGTGAGAGGAGATCGAGAGAGACAGGAGCAAATGATGGAAAAGTTAAGAAATTTATTTTCTTTTTTTTTTCCTATTAAATCCACCTAATAAGAGTGGAATCAAAGGGTAGCATCTAAACTGAATATTTTCTCTCTAAAAAATAGCGACAAGTCGTCGTCAATTTTATTTGTCTCCTTCTGTCATTTCGCCTTATCATAATTATAAGACATTTCTTGATTTCTTCTTCGAGTATTTAACGCAGTTGACGTCGTTAATAATTTTCATTTAGAGTGTATGTAAATTTCAGTTTGAATTTTTTATATTTCAATCGATTGTGGTTATATACTACTCATAACTAACCTAACTGATTTCATTAAATTTTGAAAATTACTTTCTCTTATCCTAACTAGTGGTGGACCCGTGCGTTGCCCGAGATATGAAAATATTTCGATATACTAGAGCGGGAATTCTTTTTAAATAATCTAGATGAATTTGTTAACATTTTAGGTTGTTATGATTGATAATATTTTTGATATTATTAACAAAAAGATGAAAATATTTATCACAATAGGGACAAAGTAAAAAAAACTAAAAAAAGATTAGAATAATTGTACAAAAAATGTTATTAGATGCCTGGGTATGGATTAAAAAAAAGTAACTAAATCACAACCAAGGAAAATCACACCTTATCTAATGCTTCTTTGTAGACAACGTTTGTGATACGGTTACCGAATTCTCCATTTCGGTTACAAATGAGTACTTTCAATCCTTTTCTGGATTTCACTCTAGATAAAACAATGTACAGCTGACCATGCGTGAAGACAGGACGTCTTAGGTGTAAACCAACGTTTTCAAGTGATTGTCCTTGGCTCTTATTTATAGTCATAGCAAAGCAAGCAACAACAAGAAACTGTTTCCTCTTGAGTTTAACATGCAAACTTTTATCGGTAGGATCAATGACCATTCGAGGAATGAGGACTTTTCCACCAATATTTGTGCCAGAAATGATTTTTGCATGAATAACCTGATCACCCAAATCAAGTACTTGCAGCCTAGTTCCATTGCATGATATTGGTGAATGGCGCAAATAACGGAAGAGTAATCTTAGTTAAATCTGGATAATTAGTCACATTACCTTTGGGTTTTGTGAACCCACAGATTGAAATCCCAGTCCATCATAATTAGCACAAACATCAGAATCATCGTCCTGACAAAGAAAATGCGTAAATCACATTTTAACAATTAATAGGTTGTAATAAGGATCAAAACAAATGATTTCATTACCAAATCTTGGATGGAGTTGTTGGAGAAACGGGTTATGATGTCTGGATTGATCTCCATATGCTTGACTCCCAGACTGTACCATTCTTTGCCCAGATTGTTTGACGTGATTTCAAATTTGAATAGTGCGGTTTTACCCACAAGTTGGTACAGTTGTTCAGGGACCTCGCCTTCTTCTAGAGTCGAAGATTACAACGTCAGTACACTACTGAGTGATGAGATAATTTTAAATCATGACAGTATATTTATATGGTCATTGGATATAAAACAAAGGGTATTGTTACCGGAGGGGTGATTTCAAGTAAATCTTTGGCTGAAACATTCACGATCTTTTTCACATCACGGTCAAATAGGACGAAGGTCCGTTGTCCAGTTGAGTCTTCAAGTGTCACGAAGACTTTGTACCTACGTTTTCCATATTGGTTAGTAATAACTTAAAATGAAGGCAGGATAATTGGAAATTGTCAAGAGTAACATGCAGTTTAATAGTATATACCTAGCGCAAGGATTTGGCACAATAGCTTTGTAGACTTCATTGCATCTATAAATTTTTTTGCAGTTGTCCTCAGATGCTTCATTGACATCGGTCGGTTCATTCTCAAGATTTAGGTTTTTCTTGATTGGCCACTCTTCAACCTTTTTGTGACACTTATTGCAACCAATGTAGTACCATTCCTTTTCCGGTAGGATTTCGTCAACAGTGACATACCAGATTACTTGTTGCCTACATAAATGAATTATATCATATATGAGTGGTTATATTTAAGTAAGTGACAATATAGATTTTAATAAATGAAACAAACACCTGCATAGTATTGCTGATATCTTTAATGGTTTTCCTCTCACACTTAAGTATATCTTCAGGTACCAACATAGTTGTTGTGTTGGTGAGTGTTGATATCTTTGAAGCGGAATCGAAATTAGCACTATTCTGCAATCTGAGACAGTGAAGAGCGAAACATTTGTTCTGAAAAAGTCATTTTTTTTTGAAAAAGTAATTAACAAATATTAGAGCATATACATACTTATCCTTGAAACTGGCAATCTCTTCAATCTTGCAATCATCCAGCCATATTCGCGTACCCCATAGAACATTGCTAAGTTTCTTTTTTTCTATCAAAAGAAAACAATTTTAAAATTTTGAAATTTTTGTTTATTATGTCATAACAAAAGGGTTAATAATCTTACTCTGATATTCCATGATTTTAGCATGCATAATTACAGTAACCACTCCGCACGAGTTGTTTTTAGCATAATGGTCTAGGATGACATCCGCATGTTCACTCCACAAAGTACATATGATGGTATCGTCACTGCAAAAGATTTAAGATAGCAAAAACATATGAAGTTCATTAAAAATATGAAAATAAGAAAAATACGATAATTTACATATGAAGTGGAATAGTGGTAGACTAAAGAGCATTATTACTCTAAATCACGCATCTCCACATCAACCAGATCTTTTTCGATTCCACGGCATATCCTCTTTTGCCTTTTGCCTACAGCCACTATTTCACTTATGACATCTGGAAAAAGGGTAATTATTGGATTAATTTGTCTAAATATTTAGTAATACTTGTGGAGTCATATATAATGTAGAAAAGACAATGTACCTATCAGTAAAGATTCATTCACCCTTTTGTTTATGATATTAGCAAATTTCGGGAACTGAAAACAATATTCACCAATATAAGGACGATCCACAAACTCGGGAATTGTCGCAATCTTGGTACTGCGTTTGAATATTATTTTGTATTTGTTATCACTATATCTTTGGAGCTCTTTGTCAGTAGCCGTACCAAAATGGCTTATTTGTTTGTACTCTCCCTCCTTCATGGGATCCTGAAACTTGTATATTAGGTCTTTTTTAATTTCAGCAATGGCCCTATTGCCCTGCAAAATAATAATACAACAAAGAAAATGAAATTTTAGTAATCAAATAATCACAATGATAGGTGTGTATATATGAACATATATATATATATATACTATTTTTAAATAATAGGTGCAATTTACCTTTTCGTCGATTAAGACGCTCTCAATTCTGGAGATTTCATTATCATCATTGAAATCTATCTTTATCCACACGCGTAGAAGACGAACTCGGACATTCCATCTAACTCCTCGGCTATTATCGAGCTCGTTGAGAAAATTAAATTTGGAAGACATGATATACAAAACCAATGCGGATGTGAGTGTATTTTGGTGTGTGTTTTGATTCAAACCATATGCTAAATATTTATAGGTAATGAAAGTTCCGTAATTTTTTTTATTTGGATAATGCACCATTTTTTTCGGATTAGGGGAGAATATTTATGTGGTCAAACTATGAAATTTGTGTGCCATGATTAGCGCGCTTAGATTACATTAATAAAGATTTAATTTGATTTCAATTTTTAATTTATTAAGAATGTCCAAATTTTTATTTAGTAAGAATGAGAAAATTTAATAATTATCCCAAAAATAGTAATCATGGAATAATTTTTGGGAAGAATGGCCTGGGACTTGGGCGTCGTCTACGTTGCGTAAATTCCTGAATCACATAAGCCGCACGAGTCACTCCTAATCTTTGCTTCCAATAATAATTAATTATTTTGATTTTCATTTTATGATTTAGTAAGTATGGGAAACTAATTTTGAAATTTTGGTACATTAATTGTAATTTGAATTTGGACGGAATTATGGGTCATAAGATTTTTTTAAAATGGTGTTTGAAAATGGGATAATCAATACATACCTAAAATAGTTAAGGATAAGACAATTGTGAAACTGAAATTTCATCCATGTTTATTTGCATTAACGGTGGAGACATATATGTAATTAAGTGAAAGGGCTATTTTATTTTTTTTAACCTGGTTAGATAATCAGGTGTATGCGTAAATAAGTAAAATTAAGTTGTTACAATAAAAATTTACTATATCTAATTGAGTCTAATTTTTATGAAGGTTTTATTGGATATCTCATTATGTGACATGTGTCCTAAAAGTTTACTCTTTTAATATAGAGGATTATAAACAATAAATTTAAATTAAATTTTAATGACCCGTTGATTTTTGACTTATAATTAAGATCGGGATACTTATTTGCGCCTTATATTAAGGATGAAAAGATATTACCAAAATATGTGTGTTTGTTGTTGTCAAAAAAATAAAAAATAAAAATGTGTGTTTGTTTGATAAAAACCCCAAACTTGGGAAGAGTACGTAGTTCACTTTTTTTTTCACTGTATACTCCTATCTTTTTTCTTTTGTGAACATGTTTGTTGGAAAAGAACTGTATACTAATTTTCTGATCTTTTGTGAACATTTCACGACGGTGTTTATTATTATTACTATTATTTACAACTCGTAGTCTGGCACGCTCAATATTCTGGAAGATGATTATTGGGTGCGATGATTATTTCGGATGTTGGATGTCCGATAAATTTTCCTGAATTTTTTTTTGAGACTAAATTTTTCGAATGTTGAAGTTCAAAAGGAAAAAAACCCGAAAATGGCAACGAGGTGCCGACTGGACCCATCGTTGAAAATGAAAAGGAAAAGGGTAAGGTTAGTGGTGAAAAGGGTAAGGTTAGTGCCGACTGGACCCGAAAACTTCTTTTTTTCTTTTTGATAACAAATTCATCATTTACATTAAAAACAATTACATAGAGTTACGAAGAATACACACTTTGGCTAACCTATGTCAGCCTTCCACTATATTACCACTTATCTTAATGACATTTTTTGTACTTCTATCCTTACCTAAACGTTGGAAAAAATATCGTTTCTACTTAAAATTTTGCCTTCGTCGTTAATTATATTCAATAAATTTTTAGTTAGTTAATTTTACCCTAATGTTTGAAATATTTACCATTTTTGTTCAATCGGCCCATTTTCCGTCTAAATTAACGGATCTCCGTTAATTTTTTTAATAAAATAATAACTTTAATTACAAAAATATCCGAGTAATTTTTAAAAATTTTAAAAATAACCTTTAAAATATATAAAAATAACAAAACAGTCCTTTTTCACTTTTTTTTATTTTTCTCTATCATGTTCCATTTCTCTTTACTACTTTTAATGACCATAAAAGTCTATTATATGAGTTTTAAAAAAATATTTATTTATTTTCAAACTCTACTGTAAGAATTAATCTTTGTATGGTTCTAACCCATGATTGTATTTATATAAGTATGTTAATTTTTTTAATAATATAGTTTAGCAATAAAGACACAATTTTCTGATTTATTTTATTCCTCCTAACATAAAGATTAAAAACATTTAAATGAAACTAATATTCCACATAAAAATAAAATATTAGCTCAAATAAAAAAATATTAATATATTTTAGTGTATTACAAGTTTACTCAAGAGTCTATAACTTGCATTAATATAATTCATAAAAAATAACTAAAATAGAAAATAATTAAGACACTATTTTTCTGATTTATTTTATTCTTCCTAACATAAAGATTAAAAATATTTAAATGAAACTAATATTCCACATAAAAATAAATTATTAGCTCAAATAAAAAAATATTAATATATTTTAGTTTATTACAATTTAACTCAAGAGACTATAACTTGCATTAATATAATTCTAAAAAAAATAACTAAAATATAAAATAATAAAACCTTAAAAAAATCCTCCAAACATAAGTTTTCCTTCTTGAATCTAAAACCTATTTTCTATCACAATAACTTATTACTATATTGTTACCTCCATTCATTTATTTTAAACTAAAATCATATAAAATAAGCTAGTAAGACTTCCTCTATAGTAAGATATATTAATATCTCAAATAATTATTACAAAATGTTAAATCCTTGCATTGATAAGTATAAACATTTTTTTATAAATTATATTATGCCATGTAGTCTCTGGTTAAATTGTAATACACTAAATTATACTAATATAATTATTACAAAATGTTAAATCCTTGCATTGATAAGTATAAATATTTTTTTTATAAATTATATTATGCCATGTAGTCTCTGGTTAAATTGTAACACACTAAATTATAAATATATATTGTTTTATTTGAGCTAATATTTTATTTTTATGTGGAATATTAGTTTCATTTAAATATTTTTAATCTTTATGTTAGGAAGAATAAAATAAATCATAAAAATAGTGTCTTTATTGCTAAACTATATTATTAAAAAGATTAACATGCTTATATAAATACAATCATGTGTTACAACTACACAAAGATTAATTTGTGCAGTAGAGTTTGGAAATAAATAAATATTTTTTTAAAATTCATGTAATATACTTTTATGGTCATTAAAAGTAATTGAGAGAAATGGAACAAAATAGAGAAAAATGAAATAAAAAAGTGAAAAGGGACTATTTTGTTATTTTTATAAATTTTAGGAGTTATTTTTTAAAATTTTTAAAAATTACTGGGGTGTTTTTGTATTTAAATTTATTATTTTATTAAAAAAATAACGGAGATCCGTTAATTTGGATGGAAAATGGACTGATTGGACGACATTGGCGAAAATTTCAAATGTTAGGGTAAAGTTGGCTAACCGAAAATCTATTGGGTATGATTGATGGCGAGGGCAAAACTTTGGGTAGGAACGACTTTTTTTCCCCTAAAAGTTCCCTAATATCTTCTGTAAGAGGAATCAACGAGTAAGGACAGGTGTCAGACTGTAGTTGACAATCCTGCAAACCCCTTTCTAAGGCTGCTTGGAGACCAAGGAGGCATGCTCTTCCTTCTGCATCCTCTGCTGATATTGCCTGGAAAGCATATGTTCCTGAATCTATGTAACGGCCTTGATTGGATATAATCTCCCAAGCACCTGCACCTTTCCCCTCTTGTTCCAGGTAAGCCCCATCTTTGTCCTTATATAGTATTTCCCTGTCATCCTGATTCCTTCATATGTTTGTCTCCCTTGGTGTGAGATTTCTTGTGGTATGTTCTCCTGTGCCGGGGATCTCATTCTCCTGAAGGTTCTCCATTTTTGGTAAGCTTGAATCTGAACCTGTCCCGGATCTCTCAGTTGTGTATCTCACACTGCTTTATTTCTTGCTAACCAGACGTACCATATAATAAAGAAAGATTGTTGTATCACTTCCTTGTCTGGTGCTGTTAAAAAACCAATTTCAGAACCATTCTGTCAAAGGAATTGGTGGTCTGTTGTCGAAATCCAAGCCCAGCTGCGAACATCTCCATACTCGTTTAGAATGCTCACAGTCCAGAAAGATGTGTTGAGTGTTCTCTTGATGCTTCCCACATCTTGCACACGTTGTGGGGATCCGCACCCCTCACCTATTAAGAGCCATATTAGAAGGTAGTGCATCATTTACCATTCTCCACAACAACCATTGGATTTTCACCGGTACCTGAATAGACCAAAAGACTTTCCATGCTGGAGAATTCAGGGAATATGGTAGTCCGTCCTGTGGTGTATTGGCCCCAAAGGTTCTTGTGGTGCCCTGTTGACGTGCCTCATGGTATCCGCTTTTGACTATGTATAGGCCTGAGCGTGACTTGGCCCAGACCCTACGGTCCTGGGCAGCCGTTTAGCCTTTTGGCACATACATTCTGAGCACATTCGGGACCGTCTCTGGTGGAAAGATTTCCCTAACCTTTGACTCATTCCAATCCCTGTTCTGGTTCCATAGATCTTTTACTTTCAGACTTGAGAGTTTTGCTGGGAGTGGAATACTTTTTAATGGATTGTTTGTATCTTGTATCCAATCATCCTTGACCGATGCTTGCTCCCAATTTCGGATTTGCCACTTCAGGCTAGTTTTGAGCAGATCTCTACCCCAGAGGATACTACGCCAACCCCATGATGCTGTTTTGGTCACGTTGCAGTCTAGGAAGTCGTGACCTCTTGAATATCTGGCTAGAAAAACTTTTGCAAACAATGACTCCTTATTTTCCATGATGCGCCAAGCCATTTTTGCAAGTAAAGCTTGATTCATCTCTTGTGATGACCGAAAACCCAGACCTCCATGGAATTTGATTTACATAAATGACGCCATGCTTTCCAGTGGACACCAGGGCCCTCCTTGTCTGCATTCTAGATAAATCTCGCGATAGTTTGGTCTATTTGTTTGGTGATACTTTTTGGCAGATTGAAGGCTCCCATCATATAGATTGGTAGCGTCGCCAGTGAGTGCTTAGCCAGGGTGATTTTTCCTGTCATAGATAGGGACCGATTTTTCCATGTGCTCAGCTTTGCTTTCATTCGCTGCACTATCTCCCCAAACAGTAGTGTTTTCTTCTTTATAAAGTCTAGGCACAAACCCAGATATTTCTGCTGACAGCTTCTGATTGGGATTCTGAGCCATGAGCACATCCAATCTTTGAAGTTCGGTCCTATGTTAGGGCTCACTAGGATGGTGGACTTGACAAAATTGATTCTTTGTCCTGAAACCTTCTCATACTCATCTAAAATACTCTGTAATGCTCTCACATTCTGCCGAGTGGATTCCGTGAAAACCATACAATTGTCCGCACACGTTAACTGTGTCAATCTCGGCGTCATACTTCCCTTTTTGAGCCCAAATCCTCTTCCTTCCCTATTCAGCTTCAAAATAGTCATTGACAGCACCTGTTGACAGATTATGAAAAGATAGGGCGAAATAGGGCACCTTTGTCGTAATCCTCTAGTTGGTGCAAAGTAGTCTGATTGGCTTTCATTCACACATACTGAGAAAGTAACTGTTGAAAAACAACGCCGCACAAGAGTTACAAAATGGGTAGGGAAGCCCATTTTCAGCATTACCCACTCTAAAAACGACCATGACATTCTGTCATAGGCCTTGTTCATATCAATCTTGATTGCAGGCCACCCCACGCTTGCCTCTCTTCTTTTTCCTGATAAACTCTATTGCATCATGCGCCAGTAGGATATTCTCCCCTATGTATCTCCCTGGTACAAAGCCATTTTGTCCTTCTGAGATGATGCCTGGGAGAACCTGTTTAAGCATGTTTGCTAGGACTTTTGCAATGATCTTGTATTTAACATTTGCAAGGCTTATCGGATGGTAGTCAGTAGGGACTTTTGGATGACCTTTTTTTGGGATGAAAATGACCTTCGTCCGGTTCCATTCCACATCGCACCAGTGATGGTTTAGTGCATCCAGGCATGCCCGGGTGACATCTTGCTTTATAAGAGGCCAGTATCGTTGGTAAAAGCCAGCTAGGCAGCCATCTGGCCCTGGCGCCTTCCAAGGGGGACATGTTTTTTATTGTTGCTTCAACCTCACTACCTGAGAAAGGGACCTCTAATTTTTGTTGTTGTTCCAATGACATCACCTCGTCAACCGTGTCTAGCAATGGTGGTCTCAGATCACATAAATCTTTCTCTAGTTGGCTATCGGGTTCTAATAGAGTCGACTGAAAGTGCTCCCTTATCTGATCTTGGATTTTATCCTCATCATAACACCAAACTTTATTTGTGTCCATAATGGCGCTAATCCAATTTCTCTCCTTCCTTTTGGTTGCCCAAGTGTGGAAGTATTTGGTATTTCGTTCACCTTCACAACTCCATTTCACCTTTACGTGTTGTGCCTAGTAATCATTTTGGTACACCAGGAGGTGCTCCAATTCTTTTTTCTCACTTGCTATTCGTTCTTAATGTTTGAGGATTTCCTCATTCTCTTGCAAGCATTGCAGCTTTGTGAAGCATTTCTTGATTTTACCATCTAGAGCTCCATACGATTGCCTACTCTAACTCGAGAGGTGACTTAAACTAGTTTACAGAGCTTTGGATAAGTGACTCATTCGATTTGCATCCTCATTAACATTGTCATTAAGTTCTTGTAGCTACCAAGTCCTTTGTACTATTTCATGATGTAACCATACACTTTACCCAGAATGATTCAAACCTCAAAGGTTTAGTAGACTTACCGCTTCTCTCCTGTCTTGTGTACAAAATGAGAGGGCCATGGTCCGAGATAGCGATCGACAAATTCAAAACATGAGCTTGTGGAAAATATTGCCTCCAAGCCTGATTTGCAAAAACACAGTCCAACCGTTCTAGGATGCACTCTATTTCCTTTCGATTATTGGGCCAAGTGAATTTGTTTCCCCTAAAAGGGATCTCCATCATATCCAAGTGTTCCAGCAAATCTCCTAAAAACTTCGTATGTTTGTCTTTGATCATAAACCCTCTTTTCTTATCTTCCTGTTCCAAGACTTGGTTTAGGTCACCTAAAAGTGCCCAGGGCAGGTCCTACTGTGCAACCAGCAAACTGATATTATTCCATACTTTGACTCTTTGAGACTGATCCGAATGTCCATACACAAAAAGGAACCCCATCTGGAATCCGGTAGCATCTGACACCCTAGTCGCCATAAAGTTAGGCGATTTGTTCAAAACTACTAGATTGACATTATCCTTCCACAAAAGAGCTAGACCACCAGACAAATGGACAACATCTACTACTTTTACATTACTAAAACAAGACTGATCTAGCCAACTATCTAGAACACTTGACAAAACTTTAGTTTCCTACAAAAACAAAATTTCAGGCCTATAAGTGGTCCAAACGTGCCTGATGCGTTGCTTGGTAGGTGGCCGGTTAAAGCCCCTGTAGTTCCATGAGAGTACTCTCATGGTAGCTGGGGTGGTTAATTTGGTTCAACCCCCGCAAAACCTTTGTCTTTCCTTCCTCTTTGTTCCCTGTAGTTGGTTCCGGCAGCACTATATGCCGCCTTTCTTCAATTTCTTTATCTAGCAGACCCACAAGATGATCCAACTTGCAGTCAGATTGTCCCCCCATCCCTAACAGAATTTTACCTCCTTTGGCTTCTTGGGAATGTTGTTAACACTTGCCTCAGACCCTTTGGAGCTCTCAATCTCAATTACTTCTCTGGATCTCTTCCTATTAAACTATCCTATTGATCCTTTCTCCCCACTCGCTTCAGTATCGAAATCTGACAGTCTTCTTTGGCGAGATCTGGTCACCCTTCCCGCCAGTGTTAGGGCGTCTCTGAGCACAACTGGCCTAGCAGGACGTTCCAGGACTGCCCTCATCATCGCCTCCCTCCTTTGCTGTCTTTTAAAAGTTGTCTTGTCCACTGGATCTGGAACTGGTCGTTTGCCACGCCATTTCTCCTCCATTCTGTCAAATTTACGATCTGACATGGTGCACATCCTCATAACTTCGTTGAGTTGTAAGAATCGAGTGAGTCTATCGAAGGAAGTGGTGAAAAGGGGCCCAGATTTCTTGGAACTTCTCCATGAAAACCCAACAAGTCATCTGTTATATGATTCCCAGATAAAGGATTAGCAAGATAAAAACTTCTACGCTAAGAATTACCTTGATTGGGGGGTGGAGGGGGGCAGCCCGTTAATGTTTGGGCCTTTTTTTTCTGGCCCAAACTGCTGGGTTCGCTGGAAGCTTTGTGGAACTCTCATGGCAATCGATTCTGGGCCCAACATCATATCATAGTCCTAGTGAGACTGGTGGCCCGTTAGATGCTCCAAAACCTCCATTGCCATAAGATGTTGGAACTGTGTTGGGCCTGGAGGCTTTAGGCTATGTACTGGGCTATAGAAACTTGCACTGTTCAATAGGCTGGCTCGTGTGTTGGAGAAAAATCTCTGACCCAATCTCTGCCCCATTATGCCGCTTCCTGATTCTGATTCCGGTGATAACCAGCCTGGTTCTGCCATTTCGTGAAACTTGTGCTTGGCATCCACGTAACAAATCTCTACCCTGATTATTCCTCTGTCCAAAACGAAAAGATTGTGTGATCTGTGGATCGGACCAGATTCTCGTCTCTGCCATATTAGCCCTGGACCTGATGCTTTTGTTCCTTATTGTATTAGTTTGCATATTATTGACCTGGCCCCACGTCACAGACGGTTTACCTCCTCCTGCGACCATTCCGAGACCATCCTCTCTCCCAAAACCTCCAAAACCATCCGTATTAGACCTTGCCACCGGTTCAAGGCTATCAATCTGCATATTATCATTGCTATTCAAATCATGACCTACCTTCTGAACCGCATACCTGCGATGATTTTTTATCAGCTCCAAGTCAAAGGAGATGTGAGCCTGTTCCCCGGAGTTCCCATCTAGCTGGTTGCTATACACAAATCCGTCTAAGATATCCTCTTCTCGCATCACCCGGAAGACATGATAATGCTTATGTATATACTCTGGTGATAGTTGAGTAGATTTCTTATTTACCTGACCTTCAGTCATCCGCATATACATCGGAAAAAGGTTGCTCTGTTCATCTCTTTTGCAATCCATGTTCCTTTCAGCCCCATTGAGACCAAAACTTACATCTAGATATTGGTCAAGTTTTTCATTCCGGTCAATGCTGCAATTTTCCATGGCATGACCAACTAAACCACACCTTTGGCAGAATTTATACAACCTATCACAGCTGCATTTAATCCAAATGTTGTCCCCATTCCATAAATCTAAATAGAAACCTGATGAGAGTGGGTCGTAAGGCTTCATTGCTACTTTCTCCCTTAGGTACGTTGCCTTCCTTGCATCCATTTCACTTGCCCTCACAGAGAGTGGGTCGCCAATCATCCTTGCCATTTTGGTCGCATAGGAGCCACTAGTGCATTCCACATGGAGCCCATAGAGGCAGATCCCCATAGAAATTCTCTCTATCCTCAGATTGTCCAAAGACATGTTTGGATACCATCGACTCAAAACAAGCAGACCACCGTCCACCGTGAACGGACTGCTGTATAAGACCATCTTAAGAATCTCTCTGGAGTTAAACTTGAAAACAAAGAAGTTCTTCACCTTGTGTAGAACTATGGTCTGGCCGTCCCAGTTGTTGCCGACATATGTTTGCATCTTCTCCCAGCTGTAATTCCTATCATCGAAAAGATACCCCAAAAGGCAGTTCCTATGTTGGTTAATAGAAGCATGAACCTCTTCAAATTGGAGACTGCACCTGAGGCCTCGCCTATGTGAGCGGTACACGTTTTGGCGGCGCTGTCTCCTTGCAATGCCATCACTGTCGGTCAGTGATCTCCCTTTGTTACCTGTGTTTTCAAGAGTTTCCGGTGAGGAGTGATCTGAGAACCAATATTCCATCTTGGAAGTCTGTATATAGGAAGAAGTTTGGGAAGTATGTGAGTTATGTGAGTTATGGCTGTGATGGTGTGTATCCCTTAACGGTGGTACTTTATATAGATCTTTACGACCGCAGGTTTCCTCTCCCTTCTCAGAGGAGGATAAAGGAGAACTGATTTAAACGGCGTAATGATGACTAAGCAACAGGCTGTCGTCCTGTCAGATTTAGAACAGGGGAAAAGAAGGAAACAGAAGGGATTATTACGTCTATTCCTAGTAGCCCAAAACACACCCAAGACCTAAAAGTTGAAACCTTTGTAGCCTTTGAAAATTCTGGAAATCCTTTGAAGCCAGAAATTGGTACAGACTAATCCCAGAGTCACCTCCACCTAAGACTCTGTGAGTATTAGAAAAAAGGAAAAAAAAATTATTTATGGTGACCTTGGAAAAAAGAAGTTCTCGATTTTGGTCCTCTTCACAAAGTGACTTTTAGAGCTTTGATATGAGGAAAGACGATGATGAAAAGGTTTAGGAGGCTTCAAATTCTAATTAGGAAGCAAGGACCTCCGTCGGGTATAGTGAAACGCCCCGAATTGTGATTGGGCAACTGATGCGGTAGTCTACTTAAGTGGAATAAGCTAACCCCAATTGGATACACCAACCGGTTATCTACTGATTAAGCTTTTAAACCGACCCACTATTTGAAACCTTCTTTACACTACGAATGGCCGGTTGTGACATTTCTTTCTCCTTTCCATTATTTCTTGGCTTCTCACGCTCCAAATTAAAACACTCCCAAAATGCATACCTTTCCCATGCAGATCCTTTCCTTGTTCTGAAGCAATCTCAGTATTGATATGATTCTCTTCACTAAGGTCAGCCTCTCCAGCAAATTGAATTTAAATTTTGAACCGGTGGTGACATTAGTCTTGGTCCTTTTCTGATTTGGAATGAACTTCCCCTTATTACCCAATAGATTTACGATTCAGGGTAAATTGCAATGTGTTGAGCATAAAAACCTCCCAGATAAATGGACGTGATTCGGGGCATGAACACGATTCGGGGTAAATTACTCGTATAGAATGGACGTGATTATACATCTGACGTAGTATATTTTTTATACTTCTAACTCGTATATTTTTATACTTCTGACGTATGAAAATGTGGAGTCGTGAACTGGGTACCGTGATAGTAGGTAGGTTCTTGGATGTCCGATTGAATTTGAAAACCAAGGAAGTTTTTGCCTTCCAAAAAAACAAGGAACTTTTTACTCTGATATAAAAAAGAATAGATCAAATTGCAAAAGTACCCACATAAATTTGAGGCTTGTAATATATACCCCTACTAGCATTGGATATAGGCATCAACCGTGATAAACTTTTGATGGGTTACAAGACGGCCAAATTAGATGTGGTTTTATGGAGAATCCTTAGGTGGAACTATAATCACATGGATTCTCTCTTATTTTTTATAACTAGATGTTATTATGTTAACCCAGTGCATTAATAAAAAGTCATTAATAAACATAAAATGTGAAATACAATTGAATTTCATAATTACATGTATTATTTAACTGTAAACAAATAAGGTTGTAATCATAACGTAAACTATTGCATGTCACATTAAATACAAGTTTTCCATGTACTGAAGGGGTCTGAACTCTAAGTTTGTTACAAAACAATAATTAGTATACAAATGGAATTAAATAAATTCATAACAACAATACATGAAATGAAATAAATAAAAAGTGTAATATTACAATAATAATATGTATAAAACTAGACTAAATGTGACTGTAAAGCTTAAGATTCATATAGTTATTTCAATGTATATTTTTCATAATAATTTATGTTTTCTTTTTTGTGAAAGTAAAAGTAAAAAATATATTAATGATAAAAAGCTCACAATCGTCACCACTTTACAAAACTTTTACTACTACTCTGACTGTACTCAACTCTCTATTTACATTAGTTACACCATCAGTAGAATTAACCTTTATAATCTACTGACAATACTTTTTAAGCACTCTTTCATCTGACTTGGACCATGGTTTCTGCTGCTTTCCCCATAATCTGCATTTTACTTCATACTGGATCTGTTTGAGTAAGTCCTCCACTTCCCTGTCACCACATTTAATAGTTTTTTGTTCCTCTCTTCCCATATGTGATAAACTGTTGTTGCAATGACTGCACAAAATATTTTTCGTTTTGTCCTCTTTTTTTTTTTTTTTTTTTGGTAAACCGTTTAGCCAAGCGGCTAAAACGTCAGATTACATATACAAAACAGAGGGTGAACTCAATTCAGCCTCTACTAACACGGCTATAGAGCCTGGGGGGTCATCAAAAAAGCAAACACCCCTATATACATCTAAGGCTTGTTTAGCCAGAGTATCAGCGCACAGGTTATTCTCCCTGCACGTATACAAAAATTGGACTTCCCATTCCCCCTGCAAGACAGTGAGAATACTTCTTAATTCAGGGTCGAAGGGAGTCCTAGCTTCCTCTCTTAGGCGATTCACTTGTTCTATCGCCAGTTGAGAGTCGGATTCCACAACCACCCTGGGAATTCCCCGTTGTTTTGCCACCTGTAGTGCCAGCAAGATAGCCCTGAGTTCAACCGTCTCCACAGAGCAGATTCCTTCATTCTTGTTAAAAGCTACCATGAACCGGCTAGCATCATCCCTGATGATTCCTCCCACAGCAGCTTTTCCAGAATTCAAACAGACCGCCGCATCACAATTCACCTTTTGCCATAGCGAAGGTGGCTTTTTCCAGCCTAACTCCTTCACCCTGTTACTGCGGCTTTGCTGCCATCTAAGCAGATTCTGGCTTCTTGCAATTTCTTCTGATTTGTGCACAGCAGACCTGACAATGTTTCCTACAGCCGCAGTCGCTCCATTAAAGACTCTATCATTACGGCAGTTCCATAACAGCCAACAAGTAGATCCAAAATTCATTCTCCATTTAAAGTCGTCAGCTTCTAAGTTGGTTCTGAACCATTCTTTAGCATGCTGATGGAAAAATCTTCGCCTTCGAGACTCAGGTACCACCTGCATCCAAACCTCCCTTGCTAGTTGGCAGTCACGTAGTGCATGCAGAGTTGATTCGACTTCCCCGTGGCAGCACAAGCACATCTCAGAGTCGCTAGCCCCCCTCTGCTTGCACAATTCACTGGTCGGGAACCTCCCATGAAGTGCCAGCCACAAGAATGTTCTAATCCGCTGTGGCCCTTTCCATCTCCACGCTCTTTCCCAGTCTCTATCAACCTGCAAATGTGTGTCATCATTAGCTAATAGATAAGCCGATTTCACAGAAAACTTACCTGATCTGTCGAACATCCAGCGCGGCCTATCTGATCCTAAGCACTCCATTGGTGGAGGAATACTAGAAATTCTTATCACCACTTCTGCTGGCAGGAATGGTGCAAACTTCGCCACGTCCCAACTACCATTTGAAGATGCGAAATCCGCAACTGGTCTCCACTTCCATTCCACCGGTACTTGGTTCACTATGTGGTCTGATAATCTTCCTACCCCCTCGATCCATTGGTCCTCCCAAAAACGCACCGTCCTACCATTTCCGATAACCCATGTAGTTCCTTTCAGTACCAGATGGAAAGCATCAAACACCCCTTTCCATGTAGGAGAAGCATTCCTTGTTCTTTTGAAGTGCACACTCCCCCCTTCCTGTCTACCGTACTTCACCCTGAGTACTTGCACCCATAGTTCCTCTCCGTTAGTAACTAATTCCCAGCCTATTCTCATCAAGTAGGCCGTATTCATTTCTCGTGTTTTCCTCAAGCCAAGGCCACCCCTCTCCTTTGGGCTACAGACTGTATCCCACTTCACAAGATGCATTTTTCTCTTGTCCACCGTTGACCCCCAGACAAAATTCCTTTGGGATACATTCTTTGCATTTTTCTCTGACTCTACCAAATTTCCATTCTCCAATTAATCCTTCTGTTTCCTAACCATACTTGCACCTTATCCAGCAGAGCTGTTGCAAAGTTGTTGCAAAGTTACATTCAAAAAACAGGTGCCTAGCAGATTCATTGTTTGAGAGCAAAGAATGTATTTGCTATCCACCACAGGAACATTCATTTGCACTAGTATATCTCTAGTCAAAATGCTCTGTTTCCATACTAACCAAAAGATGAACCCATGCTTAGGAATATTCATACCTGACCAGATAGTCCTTACTCCTTGCCATTTAACATGTCTTCCCATGAGTCAGTCATAGCCAGAACTGATAGTATAAACTCCACTCCTTTCATGCTTCTACTGATTCCTGTAAATCCATCTTTAGTAATGTCTCTCATTTTGAGAATTTGCTTCCAATGCCAACAGTTATCCAACTTAGGTTGTACATCCCATATAGAAAATTTCTTTAAATAAACAGTATGTATTCACTTTATCCACAAGTTATCAACTTTCAGTGCTAAGTTCCATACTTGTTTTAATACTGTAGCCCAAGTACTGTCAGAGATGGGATAGATAATCCCTACATCCAATAATTTGATACTATCCTTCTTCACAACTTCTTTCATTGTTAGATTCAGTCTTCTATGTCCTTCAACAATGGGCTTGACTCATTCTTTCAATTGATTCTCATGCATGTAGATTAAGGGGCTGATGCCTTTGATATTAGTAATAATCCATCCAATTATCTCTTTATACATCCTCAGCACTTTCAATAACTTATTTTCCTCTAAAGTTGATAGCGAGGAAGATATGATCATTGGAAGTGCATTGTTGCTTCCCAGATTTTATTAGAATTTTTTTTAAAAAAAGCACAGAGGTTTTCTTAGGAGTACAAACATCTTTTGGGTGATTTTTTTGATCGAATTCATATGCATACATCAATTTTAACTCACTAGAGGACCATTTTGGTAATTTACTTGGTAATGAAGGGATGTTTTTGATATTTATCAAAACAATGAGGATGTTTTAGAAAATAAATTAAACTTTAGGGTGTTTTTGATATTAACCCATATTATCTACCATCAAGTCTTTCTTTTATGGAGAGAAAAAACGTTCTGAAAGATGATACCCATTTCGCAAAAAAAGTCCATACAAAATCGGCTAGTCCGGTCCTCCTGTGTAACTCTTACCCCTATTTTATCCCACCTCCGGTCACCCCGATTTTCTTCTATACAGCTCAAAATTTCAGAGAACGAACTTACGGATCATACGAAAGAGTACCACGGCGGGCGGGAGGCGAAGTCAAAGACGACGTATAAGGTTACTGTGGCTGACGTCAGATTCTGATCACTCCCAACTGGTGGTCACTTTTTGAATGCACTCTCTCCAACTGTGTATTTGTTGTCTGAATTACTTCCGGCGGTCTGGGTCGTCTCGGATTCATCATCATTTTGATTCTTGATGAGGTAATTGTCCTCAGCTACGCCCGTCCCGGCACTCTGTCTTCTCAACTTCAATCATGGTTTGTTTTCTTGATTTTCCAGGTTGTTTCTACACGACTGAACTTCCCAACCCAATATAACGGATTGATTTTCAGCTGTACGACAGATATCCCCGTCCCGATCAAAGTACATCCGTTCGCTAAATCAGGTAATCATTTCCGCGATTGGATTTTGATTCGATGCTGTTTCTTTTTTCCGCTTTATTTCCTACTGGATATGCTGTGTGGATTGAACAGATTAACCATCGATATAAGGTTTATATACTGTAGCACCTCCAATTCGCTGCTGGATTATGTACTTATTGTGCTTGAAGTCCTTTCTGGCTTATTTTAGTTTTTTTTTTTTTTTTTTCAGAGCCCTTATAAATTGTTCTTTCTGTATTCATGAACTAAAGGATCTCACCTGGAAGCCATTTTTTTAGCTTATATTATAAATTGCCCTGCATTTTATTTTACTGAATTTCGGGTTAGAGGATTCCAAAGAATTACAGATGTGGGTGTTATCTGTGTAGAGATATTATGGCAATTGCATAATGGACTTGTCATATGAATATGTAACAATCAGTCAGCATATTCTCAACCCTGTTGGGTCTGGCGTTCAACATGTAACTTCACCCTTGTATTCAGAAACAGAGAAATTGTTTCCGTTGCAACTCAAGATGCATGGCTGCATTTGATTTATTGATTTTGAACAACTTCCCTAATTGAGAAACATCAGGATTTAATTGAGCCACTTTGATCTGTGATATGAATATGTACATAGATAAAATGGTTGGTGAGGCTTAGAGTGTATGCAAGGTGTAATAGCTATCTAAGGTGTATTTCATTGAAGATGCTTCATAGATGTATTAGGCCTATAGTGGAGTATATATATGTACAGTGTTGGGACACAGATAAAGAAAGCATTCGTACCAAGTAAAATTGTGGGTTCTTTCCCCCTTTCAAATACAAATATTTGAGTATTATGCTTAACTCAATGCCCGGTCTATAATTGCAAAATGATTTTAAGTCAGACATCCATATTAGTATCTACAAGTAAATTTAATTGGGAAGCCACTGGTTTCAAGTTTTAACTAGTGCCAGAGTCCATAAGTTCATGTACTGTATCCATATAGATAAGGCCATTTGCCTTTCTACTTTATCCACCTTTATTTATTCTCTGTGATTATCTTTTTTCTTCCCTGGCAATGAGAATTTCTTTCATTCTGCTAGGTTTGTTGGAAAATTAATTATCTTTCCTCGGCTTGTTTCATTACACTTAAATTGTCTTTAACTTAATCGTGGTTGAGACATGAAGATTTTTGCACCTACTTACGAAAGTCTGTTTGCTTTACTGGATGTGGATGACAGGCTCTTGGTGGTAACCAAATACTCTAAAATGAACAAAGTTTCCCGTCCAATACGATGCTGTCATGGTTCGGGATTTCTCTACCTAGACAAACATAACAAATATCGGAAGTGTTGGCCATTTGGCCCACTGGGTTGGAAAAAACATGGTAAGGAGGATCTAGAGTTCAAACAACATACCGCAAACTTAGTTTTGAAGAAAGTCATGGAAAAGTCAGATTTCACACTGGAAAACCTTATTGATCAGCTAAGAGATACTGTACCTGAAGTAAGAGCTTCTTATCCAGATAGCGCACTAGAGCAATTAGACGACGAGGAAGTTATAACCTTGTTGGCTGCAGACACATGCCTCTTTATCATGGTAATCTTCTCTATTCTTGAGGCTGAACTGGGTTTTCCAGAGGAGCATCCCATTTTTGGTCAGGGATGTGTGCAAAACCAAATGGAGCAATGGCTTAGTTCCATATTCTTTGTTGGTAACCAGATCCCTTTTTGCTTTGTGGAGAAATTAATGACATCGCTTAAGTACTTGGCAGCTTTGAGAGGGGAAATTATTGGTCAAGGTAAACAGCCTTTGGAAATGTTAGAGAGAACATTGCTTGAGTTCGTGACGAATGACCACTTACCTGCATTGAAACCAGTGGATGTATTGCAGTTTCTCCGATCAATTATTCTTGGACCAAAGTCAGCACAACTCCACATCTGGGTGGTCAAGAGTAATGACATAGTAGACGAATCTGAGCCACAGTTATCTGCTAGTGGCTTGTCTAAACAAGGCTATGTATTTAAGCCACTACCAAAGAAATGCGGAAGTAGGGAGATCAAATGTGAGAATCAATGGGGAAAGGTGGTTGTTTACTTGCCTTTCCTTGAGGTTGTTTGTACCACTTGGCTAGAGTTGATGATGAAAAGTGTTCAAGAGTTTGAGCTTGTTCATCAAAACGATGCCGATGTTTTTCAACTTGAATCTACGTGGTATTTTAACTTGTTAAGTAATCTTGTTCGCTCGCAAGATGATGTTCAAATCCTTGAATCAAGTGGTATAGTTAGAGGAGTGGGCCTTGAGTGTTTGCCAAAAATTCTTCGAGGCTTCTATAGAATGCCTCGATATGATCCTCGATGTTGTGGTAGAGAAGAAATCCAACGATACAAACCCCGACTAAACATGTTGCAGAAACTCACATGGTGTAAAATCTTCTCCTTAGCCATTATAATTTCATTAGCCAGTCTCAGTGTCTCATCGTTGCAGGTTGGATTTAACCTTCAAGGTTTCCAAAAGCATCACTAATCAACAGGCGGACAGCAGAGAGGTAAGCATCGCCAACTTGTGTTATGGGTTCATGATCTTAAAATTTGCTTACTGGTTGACTAAATGAAGTTTTCCTTCCATATGTATAATAAACTTGTTTGCTATTGTTTTTCTATTTGGCAGGGAGAGGGGATCATGGGAGGCATGGCTAGTGCCGTCTCATTTTCTTGCATTGATTTTGCACACAAGAAACAGGTTTAGAGTGATAATATTCTTCAGCCTTTGCTCTTGGGGAGGAACATCAACTTAGCCTCTTAGGTACCGTTACTTGAGTAAATAATATACAGTAGTGGTGATTCTAAAGTGAGTTAATTGTATGTAGGTCAACATTTTTCAATGGAGCGTCGATGAAGTAAATTGTAGTGAAATGAAAAATTTTGAATGCTGTGAGATTTATAGCCTAGCAGAATTACCCCCCACTCATTACAGATTGCGAGCCATAGATAGTTGTGCTTTGTATATTAGTGTAAAGGATGGCGAACTCATAATTATAGGTATAATGAATATAATCACTTCTCATAGCTTTTCATGTGGTATTACATCTAAATTTTTAGGCAATGGCATAACGATAATCAGATTCTTGCGTAAGATCAAACTAGATCCCTGGTCTTTTAGTAACCATCCAAGAATTCTTTTAACTTTCACTCGTATTTGAGCCTGTCGGATTGGTTTTGTAGAAAGGTTAACCCATAACTCTCTGTTATCAACATGATTACAGTAACTCGTAACTTGTCCAATTATCTGCATTGACATTACAGAAATTGTTGGCCTTTCAGCCAATGTTAGGCACAGTTTGAACACTTTTCAGGGTGTTCCAGCTCAATTGCCCGTATATGCAATACACATGAAACAAGAACTGTATGATGTTCAAACTACAGCTTATATAGATAAAGGTACCACATTCTAAGAAACATTAAAAATCCTCAATTTGCCCAAAAATGAAAGTACTGTTTCTCACACTATGTCTTTACACCAAATAAGATAATTCTTCAGGATAGAGACAGTAGCTCACAAATACATTACCTATTCCACTTTGAATAACAGACTACAAAATGTGTTCAAGAAAATATGTCCCGCTCTCCTCAACCTCTTGTCGCAGTTGATTTTGTGTCTTGGTGTTCCTCTCGCCACTGCGCATGAGTTTAGTGTCTATCTGTCAATAACAAAAGGGATAACAATGTAATTACCAACACGTGAATTAACCATAGCTGCGCAAAAATGTACCCTTTTGTCTCATTTCAATAATCCACTTTAATTTACATATTTATTATAGTACTAAAAATGAGGCGGATGAGGTAATTTATTACAGGTACACTAAGCTATCAAAATCTTTAATTAGATCCAAAAGACAGACCAACATGAGCCATCACACAAATTGGTAAGATCATTTATTACAGGTACACTAAGCTATCAAAATCTTTAATTAGATCCAAAAGACAGAACAACATGAGCCATCACACAAATTGGTAAGATCGCTCCTTAAAGGATGCTGAGTGTAAACTCATGGAAGTTTACTTCAATAAATTTAAATATAGAAGTTAAGGTAATAATATAAATAAGCACCCATCACAGGTACAAATTCTCTTTTCCAGCCGTACTTCACGCAAAGAAAACCTCAAGAAACCCCAATAAAAATAAATTCTCTAAACAATTTGCAATCTATAACACTGAGTTCCCCCAAAAAAAAGAGTACGAAGTAAAGAGCACAAAATTTGTAAAGGAGAACTTGCCAAAGCCATTATTCAAATTTATCACTTATTTCCTCAGTGGAAACCATTTCTGCTAGACCAGTATTTAAGCTCAAATCCTTTGTCCACCCTTCTACAGCCACACCATTACACAAATGGTATCTACTTACCAATCTGTAAGATCAAGGTTTTGTATCAAAATATACCTGTTCAGAAATAGGAAAGCACTGAAGTTTTAAGCTTCAACAAACTAAAAAACATAAAACTTGTTATAGAAACTTCTTTTTGTACATTATTATTGGCAGGACTATGATGCAGGAACACTTTGCAAGACTTCATACGGTTGATTATTAGTCTCCTATCCCATTTTATAGTCAACTTCATTGTATGGTAGAAGTGGATAGAGGGAGTAACTTATAATTCCTCTAATTCTCTTCCACTATTTTTATACTTCCTCTAAAACCTCGTCTACTATATTTAATTGTAGTAGAGAAAAAAGATGCCTAAAGTCTTTGCAGATGGGATCCCTTCTCATCTTCCAGTTTGACTCTTCAACCACCCTTTTCCCATCCTTCTTTGTAAATTGTATGGGAGAGTCCAAGACCACAACAAACGGAGGTTAACTATCATGGCAATTGTCACATCGAGACAAGTTGCACGAGGAGGCAACAATGTCAATTAACATAAATAAGTTCATACCAAATACCTTTGCTCGGTTAAGGCGAATAGACCTCCAGCACCCACATCAATCATTGGAGCTCTCATTCTGCCTTTTACGACCAACTGCATTGCTGAGACATCTTTATCTACTAAGAGGCCTTCTTGCAGGAACGCATAAAAAGCATGCGGATGAACCAGTGTGGCATACACACTGGATGGATATAGGCAATCAAAACAGTTGATTGGTTTTGACGAAATACGCATGCTTGACTCGTGGTAAACATTCTTCTCCTATCTTGTTCAGCCTGTCTACGAATGCTGGAGGCATGTATAAAACATTCAGCTCCTGTAGACTTGTCAGGAAAATCAATCCCTCTGGTGGATCTTTCAGCCTCTTGCATCTTTGGAGTGTCAAAGTGGAAAGTTCAGGCATCCCTCCCTGAGCAACTGAAACCTTTTCCAAGTTTTCCAAGTTCGAGAGAGTAAGATGTCTTAGATGAGGCATTCCCGATGCTGAACAGTTCATGTATTTTGCAGCAACAGCATTGTTGCATAATTCGAGGACCTGCAAGTTAGGGAGCTTTCCCAACTTTTCCATGGGATCTTCATCAAGGTCAGAACCACTGAAAGAAAGCTTATTGAGGTCATGAAAAATTGGCCAGGGTAACGACCTGTAAATTCCTTCAAGGCATAAGATGCTAAGGTTTGGGAACCTGCAAAGATCTTCGATAATAGAAAGGTTTTTGTTCGAGTCATCAGACATTTTGACCACTAAAGATGAAACGAGAAAGCTATTTCTTATTGCACTTCTATTTATCTCTTGGAGGACCTCTGAATTTCCCTCAAGTATTGCGACCAATCTTTTGAGCTTCGTCAGTACCCGGAGTTCTTTTACTTCACAAACTGTTGAATCAAAATTTACAAGCTCCTCCAGGTTTATTAACTTGTATAGGTGCAATTTTCCACCCCCCTGGACCTCAAAGCGATGTGGCAGAATAAGAAACCTCAAGGAACTCAAACATTGTATCTCATTGGGTATAAGCATCCTACTTTTAGTACATTCAGGTAGACGAAGTGTTTGCAAGTTTGACAAGTTGCTGATACTTGAAGGAAACCTTTCTATGAAACAGTTTCTCAAGCTCAGGTATCTCAGCTTACTCAGCTTTTCCATTGTAGGGATCAATCCCATCACATCAAGATTGAACCCATCACAATCTATCAGCCTAAGTCTTTTCACATCATCAAGATCAAGTCTTTTCATGTCACCAAGATCAAGTCTTCTCAAGTCATCAGGATCTCGTCTTTTCAAAAGAAAATCCACTGAAGTCGACCAATTCCTAAGATTGACAGAAGATGGTATCCATCTACTCTTGGAAGCACGTAGATATAGCCCTTTAAGCTGCGAGACATCCCACAAATCAGATAGCTTGCGTAACGGTATAGATTCTTGCTGATTCTCTTCCGGGGATTCGAGTTTCTTTGTCCTCTTCCCTTTCGAAGGAACAGAAGCACCATCCTCAAAGTACAAAGCAAGTCTGATTATTCTATGAGTTGAATCAGGAGAAGAACATGAACTTAATTTCTCATCATTTGCACGTCCAAAGTGTTTGTCAACACAAAAGTTGTTCTCCCTCCCCTTTAGAAGACATAGGTCATGCAACAGGTCGTGGAGTTGGAAGGATTCAAAACGCATTGCATAACGAATTTCTGGTTTATGCACTGAAACCAAGTTTCTAATATGTAATTCGTACAAATACCACTCCGCAATGTCCATGGATGATATTTTTCCAGATGGATCCGTAGCGGGTACCACATAGCCTTCTGCCAACCACATCCGATATAATGACTCTGCCTCTACATTGGCACCCTTCGGAAACATGGCAGCTACATAGAGGAAGCATGGTTTAAGATAACATGGTAAAGAGTCGAAAGATAATTTCAAAATACTTGTTACTCCTTTAATGCCATCATAATCTTGATCCATCTTTAGAGATAAAACAATATTCTCGCAAACCATCTTCCATTGTTGTGCTTTTGTCTTCGAAATCAATAACCCCCCTACCAACTTGACCATCAGTGGTACACCTGAGCAAGCTTGAATTATTTCCTTACCAACCTCATTCAGTTCAGAAACATCCTTAGGATCTGTAGAAATTATATGCAGAAAGATATAAAGGCATCAGTGGAGTTATGCAACCTCTGATAAACAGATAAGATAATGAAAATCATTCCACCAAAATCTACTTCTACAGGCACAATTAACTATGTAGTCAGAAAGCAGTCATAATCCAAAAAAAAGAAAAACAATAATTAAAATGCAATCCTATCTTTCAATCAAGCCCTACAAGGACAAGGAAGGGGGAGCTAACGTTAAAAATTAAGTTAAAAATTAAGTTAAAACAACAAAACGAGCTGATCTGAGAAAAGACATAACTACAATTCAACCTTTCACTGCAAAGGGAAAAAGTGCTATAATTAATCCTACATAGTTTGGAAGTAGAACATGAGAAAAAGAGCCATTACCTGGTTTTTGAGCTCTGAATGCTGTCTTCAAGAGTAGGTCCCAACTTTCTTGCTGAGTTAAACACCTCATGCGGTGAACAAAGCCTTTGAGCGATGTTGAGATCTTGCTTGCAATTTCAGTGCTACGAGTGGTTAGCAGCAGCCTGCTGCCCGTTTTGTCCGATGTGGGGAAACTAAGGCTGAGACAATCCCAAGCATCCATACCCCAGATATCATCTAATACAATTAGATACCTCTTTTGTTTCAAGAAATTGTAGAGTTTTTCTGCCAACTCCAAAGCAGTATAAGCTACCATATCTTCCCATTTGTGGCATGTAACAGAGGTCAGTATATCTTCCAGCACCTTTCTCGTGCTGAAGTTCTCTCCTACCCGCGCCCAGCCAAGGCAGTCGAAGCTTTTGCGTACACACTGGTCTTCATAAACTCTTTGAGCCAGGGTAGTCTTACCGAGACCACCCATTCCACAAATACTTATAATCCTGAATTCTTCTTCCGTAACTAACAAACAAGTAATCACTTCTTCCTTGGAATCTTCCATTCCCACTATGGAATTCGCTTCGTGTTCCAAAACATCTTCCAACTCAATTAAATTTTTTTCTGCAACCAGAGGGGGGAGATCATCTCGATGGACCGCAGAATCCTTAGGTTGGGTGAAACACACGTCATCCGAGCCCAGGCCGTTAGAGTTCTGAATCTTCACTATCAAATTCCTCAACTCCAACTGAAGGATGTCTCCCTTGCAAGAAGTAGCTTTCATCCAATTTTCCTTCCGGCCAAACCGTTGAAACTCCTGACAGCAGTATGTCATATCATCGATCAAATCCTCTGTGTCGTAAATTAGATCTTTTGCTTGAAGCAGCTCAGGAGAGCTCAGCACACGGTTCTCAAGCTTCGACAATAACCCATTTATCTCAGAGGATAATCTCTCAATATCCCACGGATCAATAAATTCAACAAAAAACTCCAGAAGAATCAACAACTCAATCAGAAGAAGCACCAACCTTTCCGCGGAATCTGGCGATTCCTGAACGACATCTAACCCCGGTTTCCGTAATGATTTTTTCGTGGATTCAGCTGTTTTTGAAGCCAGTAAGCTCTTAATCGACTTGGGAATTTTCCGACGCTGACTTCCCCTAAACATCCCCGCTATCCCTCTTATCATGTCTTCAGCCATCTGAGCGGTCAACGGTGGCGGTAGAGTTTTCCCGATCGGATCTGAACGCTCTTCCCGATCTGCGCCGTTCTCCTGTAACTGTTGAAAGAAACAATGTAACGCACGCTACTTGATGACTTTATTGGATTCTTCCACGGTCCCGTCTTTCGTGGGGCCTCTCTATCAATAACTGAAGTATATGCCACATCAGCCCACTCGCACGCGAAAGTGGCAAAAAGGACCCATGGTAAAGAAAGTTACCCATAGTCTTGCGAGTGGAAAACACGCGCGGGGAGGAGATTGGATCTCGGCTGGCGCGGAGCTCCCCAGTCAAAATTCTTTTCTTTTTTTAAAAAAAATCTTTTTACCATTTTTTTCAAACAATCATATCTTTTGATATCATATATCTTGCTATATTAGAAACAAAAACCACACCTAAAGAAAGCACCACCATTTGTCATGTGGCATTTCCACGTCATATTTTTAAAATAAACTAGATGCTTGGCCCAGGCAGATGCCTGGGCGTCCCTCTACTTTAAATTTGTATTAATAGATAAATAAATTCTTGACTTGGAAAAAATAAAATAGCTACACATTTGTTTTTTTTTTCCTTTTTTAAGTCAAAAATAAAAAATCATCTGCCAAAGCAAAAAAATATTAAAAAGTACAACGATGTAGAAATCATACAAAAGAATGTGGAGTAATAAAGGGGATAAGTTTATGGATAAATTTAAATGCTATTTTAATTTGATTGATAAATGATAAATGTTAGGAGTTAAAATTGTGTAGTTATTTTTGTAAAGTAGCTTTATTTCTCGGGATAATTTTTTTTTTTCTTTTAAAAAGGAGATGACACGTGGCAGAATGGTCAATGCAATATGGTGCATTTGGAGCCAAAAAGTTTTAATAAGAAGTTGCCACATCAATATCTTGTATTCTGCTTTAATAGGGTAAAAGGGATTTTTATTTTCACATCTCCTAGACTTAAAAGGTAAGTGCAATCTAAATTCACCTCCACCCTCTATTTTTGCCAAAAAAATAGAAACCATAGGTTCATAAAAAACTCAAATCCTCATCCCCATCTCTACCACAATGGACTCCCTAATCAATCCCTGCTCCACAATAAAAAAAATAAAAAATTCCTCATCAATCATCTGTTGAGAATATGTGGTGAAATATACTCCATTCCAATTAGCATGTTCAATATTTTCATTAGTGATGATCAACTACATACTAATCGGATAAAATTTCGACTTCGAAAAATATTCTCTTTACCTTTCTATATAAACACAAAGGGAAAAAAAATTCTCATTAATCTTACTTCGGCCGTTGTGGTGGTGCAATTACATGTATTAAAATTTAAATGATTTTATTTTTACAGATCATTTGTTTGACTTTTATTATTTTTTGTTTTTCCTATTCAAATAGTGTTATTACTATTAGTTTTATGCGTACATCCATTACAGCTACTTTAGCAGTTGTCAGGTAATATGATGGGATCTCTTATATGGTTAGTTAGCCTAAAATTTTTGTATGATTTTAGTTCTATTTGTATTGAATTCATTCATTGGGTTTTTGTTACAACATATGGTTTTTAAAATTTTTTTTTTTTATATTTCATTCAATTAGAGTGGTTTTCTTTTTTTAATTATGGAATCTCAATTTTTTTTTCGTATATAGTCAGTTATGAAGTGTGTTTTTTCTTTGTTTAATTGCTTTTGATTTTGTTTCATACTCCCAGTTGACCAATTATTATTGTTATTATTATTATTATTATTATTATTATTTACAAATGAAGCATGTTTTTTTTTTATGTTCGGACTTTCAAGAATATATTTTTTGGATTTGATTTTTGGACTTTTTTTAGTTTCTCATCATATAAATAGTTAAGGTCGCTTCTTCTAATTATTATGGGGAAACCTTTTATGAATTTGAGGCAGAGAGGGAAGGAATGATGTTTCTACGTTTATTTGTGTTTTTATACAAATAAATTTCTCAATAATTAATGGGCCATCTTTTAATTTCTTTTTTTTTTCTTTATTTGCCATGGTGAGGTGAGTTCTCTTTTGCTATAACTTGAAACATATGCAAATTTACATTATTTTCATTCTCATATTTGTGATTAACCAGTTTCAAAATCATATTTTTTTATATTTTATTACCTATAAACTTTTGGAAGAAATAGTTCCAACAATTAAGCGTATACCATTGGGAGAAAGCTTACTGCAAAGCTATTATAAATCTCCAAAACTAAGTATTGATTTGGCACAACCAATGGAGAACATCAATAAATTATCTTACTAATATTTAAACTTATTGGCATGCTTTCATATTTTGTCTAGCATTTACTTCAAGAGATATATTTGATCAAGTTTATTTATATTTAAAAAGTAACACTTATAAAACATTTCTAAAATGTACCGGACCAAATACAATTTCTTTTTATACCAAATACAAACATTTCTATGATCACACTTATAAAACATTTCTAAATTCTTCAAAAATTTCTAAAATATATCGGGCCAAATATAAAATATATTTTTTTCAAATACAAACATTTCTAAGATCTACAAATATATTGGACAAGGGTCGCGCATTGCGCGACCAGACATCACTAGTATTAAAAGAAAGAAAGATAATCGACACGTGTCGCTAATTAAGATCATCAAACTTTACTTTCAATTTATTGTCATTTTAGCCCTTAAAGTTTTATTTATGTGTTATTTAGTCTTCAAGTTTATTGATTTTACATTTTTCAGGACGATGAATTGTGTCTAATCCCCAAAGTCCCATTACCTATAAATAAGCCATGGACATCTAGACATAATTTGTGCATTTTTTAAATATATTTTTTTATCCAAACAGAATATTAGTTAGTGGTGATAATTTTTATTATACAATTTTTTAAAATTTTTGTTGTAATATTTTTGGCCAGATCTTACAAATATACATCTCATAAATAATATCAATACCTCTCATTTTGATCTAAAATTGATTAATAAAAAAATATTACGGTTTTAAGAAATATTAGTAACTACATTATCTAATTAATTCTTTTGAAAGATAAATTTTCAACATTGACAAACCCGCGCAAAGTGCGGGACATATACTAGTATAAATAATTAGAAAATGTATTATACATCAAATTAGTCTACGCGATGAGAGCTTTCTATTGAGATCCATTGTTAATATTTTTAGAGTTAAAATTTTATTCAAATTTATATACTAAGAACAATATATATACACTTTAACATTTGTGTATATGAAATTATATTATTAATTTATTAATTTGCATATATATACTAATAATTTTTACATTTTTGTCCCTGTTTAAAGCCATGAGAAAGGCGTGTTAAGGGCGTTGATCCCAGTTTACTTATAACTACTCATGTTGACGGACTTAATTACCCTGTAATATTCCCTATTTGGCTCAAGATTTCCTGAATTAGTCTATGTCCCACTCCTTAGAAATGGTATCAGAGCCATGAGTAGAATTGTAATTACTGATTCTTATCCCAACAACCACTTCTGAAATTCAAATGAATTTAATCCAGAAAAACAAGAAGACTGTTAAAAATAGTCTAAAACAAGAATATGATATTCCTGAAAATTTAGAAGAGTTGAATAAATGGACAATTCCAAAGATTGAATTAAAAATTGTATATCAGTTAGGCACTTTTGAGAAATTAGGTTTAAAACAAGTTGTTAAAACAACTGAAGAATCTATTTCTTTAGATAATGAGGAGATAGAAATTAAATTATTACAATCAAATGATATTAATAGATATTGTCAATTGTATAAATTTATTCATATTGGTTTAGTACAAATTGCTTTTAAACCATTAACCTTAGAAGGATTACCAGAAAGCTTCATAGCTTGTTTACAAGATGCTCGAAATTTAAATTGGAAACAATGGTTAATGGGGATAATACAATCTAGTTTAGCTCATGGACCAGTTTATTTTAATGTTTATCCAAATCTTTCATTATCTTTAAGTGACGTTAATATACTTGATGCATTAACTTTGAATGTTAAAACTCATGGATATAATTATATGACTGGATCAGAATTGATTTGTATATGTTATAGAATTTATTATAAACCTTTAATGACTTTAAATACCAATTGTAAATTAATTGATAAAAAGATAAATGAAATAGTTTTAATTGAAACTAATTTCAATAAATCAAAGATTATTACTAGAAGAACAATTAAATGGGATGAAATACCTATTCCGGAACAATGTGTTATAGAAAGAACTGGTAATATCCGGTCACAAATAAATACAGAAGTAAGTTCTTTTGAACAAACTCCTGAAGGACATGTTTATATACAAATGAGGAATAATCCATTCCTATTGACTAATAACAGATCTCATAGATCTGGATTATCTCGATCATATTCAACTCATTACATTTCACCTCTAATAGAGGATAAATATTTTATTCCTAGTCGTGCTTCTACCTCATATAGTGAACATCCTTATTATGTTTCTACTTCACAAGTTAGTGATGAGAATAATCGTCATGTTGATAAATTGGTAAAAAATAAAGAAAATATTGTTAAAGGTGTGTATAACACCAAAGATGAAGAAATAACTGAATCAGAAATGGCATTTTCAATATGAGTAAGATAGATTTCAGTCCAGGTTCTTTGGCTAGAAATCAAGTCAAAAAAGAATTTAATCTTCCAAGGTGGGAACCATTTAGAAAATGGTTTTTCCCAAATTTCTCTTTAGAAACACAAAAATTTATTTCGGATGAATTTTATAAGTTTTTATCATATCATAATGTCTTATTTTCTTTTGTACCATAGTTTATATCTGTTTATATTGAACCACATATATGTGTATTGAAAAGAGATTACAAACTCTTGAATGGAAATACGCTAAAGGCAATATTTCCTCCACAACAACCTTTTAGAATAGAAAAGGAAAATAATGTTATGAGCTTTTCTGCATATTCAAAATTATTTGAAGATGAAACATTGGTTATAACTGTAAAACAGATGAATAAGATAATAGAACAGAATAATTATACAAATGTTTATTGAATATCCTAGGAGAACAAATTTTATCTTTACAAGGAAGGTTAGATAAATTAATACATTTAATAGAAAATAATAGAGACACTAGTCTTAGTAATACTAGAGAAGATGTTGTTGCAGCACCAACTCTTCAACCACCACCTGAAATAAAAGATTTTAAATTAA